TAAACAATGAAGAACAACACAATGAGAATCCATCAATATTATAATAAAAAAGATGGACGGGTGGAGAGCTGAGGTGGAGTTTGCCACCTCAGCTCCAGCACCCAGCAGCCACCTCCTGCGTGGAATTGCCCCATTTGGTCCCCAGACCAATGGGCAGAGCCACGTCTTTAGGCGGAAGGATAGGATATGTCAAGGCAGTGCGTATGCCACTCAGACGATGACTAAAAAAAAAGATAAAGCGTGTTCTATGTGCCATCATTCACGTTTGGCCTGTTTTAAATTTTCTCACCCCACCACTAGGACCCATGTCGAAATTCAGTGTCACATGTAAACATTAGGAACAGCCACACTGCCAGCTCCTCTCAAGGAACGGTTGCAAATTTTGCAACCTTCGAACCTCTGAAGGACTACGGTATTATGTTTAGTTTTGAACTCTTTCATTTGTGTCGCTCACAAAAGGACCTATACACGTGAATTAGCTTTTGTGGCCGTAATTGCCAGAAATTTCTAAAATGTTTCTGGGGCGGGGAGGACGAGGACGACCGTGAGGGAGCCTAGGCAAGCACGACCCCCCCCCCTACCCCGCTAAATAAGCTCGGTCGCAGAGGAACTAGCTTCTGTTCCCAGGGAGTTCAAACAAGAGAAAAGGACGAGGCCGTCTGCATCTCCCCCCTGCGGTCTCCTGCAGGGGCAATGCCTCGTCCAAACGTACCTCCAGCATCCTAGCCGCTCCAGCAGGGGTACCAACCCAGCAGGTAAGAGAAACAGAGCGGCAATTTCTGTCCCGTCGTCCTGTAAGACGCGACGCTCCCGTGGCTTCTGATTCGCGATGCCCAGAGCGGCGGGTGGGACTTGGGGGTGGCCGCGGGTGGGCTTTCGCGTTTGTTTTGATGAAAGAAGGTGGCGTGTAGCTATCCGGGAGCAGCGAGAGTTGGGGTGGTTTCGGTCTCTTCACTCCTGGGGTGAAATCTCGTTAAATGGCAGTACTGCAAGGGGAACATTTTGTGGGTCCCACTGTCACCAGTGATGGTCTTGATTAGCGGGCTTGCATAAAATGATAGCTTTGGATCAAAATACAGGCAAAAACCTTCCCTCCGAAGGGGGTCGAGTGAGATAATAATAACGTGCTTAGTCAGGGCTAGAGCAGGAGGAATATAACCTCGTTATGTAGCCAAAGCCTATCCACTCTCAAACCCAAGGGCCATTGGGGACTATGGACCCGCAGGAAGTGCTGCCATGGCTCTTCCCTCCCGCTGAGACGCCGCTGCTGCCGAAAGGGCTGCTCAGGTGTGGTTGAGGGAGCCTCTGCCCGCCCAGGGAGCCCCGTGCACAGAGGCGGGGATAGAATGGAGACCCCCCTCCTCCCCGGCCAGTCTCCATGGGGCCCGCGCTTCCTTTCTGAATAGGATCAAGCCCATCGAGGAAAGGAAGCCCTGTTGTTCCTTTAATTTACCTTCTGTTGAGAAATGTAGGTTTAGTAATTTGGTTCCTCTGCTTTATGAATGAAAGAGGTGGTGTTGAACATTGGTTATTACATGAGATGATGAAATACCTTGGACTATAAAATCTTACTTGACAAACGACTTCTATTATAAAGACCACCTATAATACGCGAAAAGAGGCCCCATACCTAGTTATAAAATTATTTTTAACATCTGATTTTAAAGTCCTCAACTTAACACACTATTAAGAGAATATGGATGAAGACCAGGAAAAGCTCCTTTCCATGTTGAAAGCAATACATGAAACCATTCTTTCAGTTTGTGACAAAATAAGATGCAACATAAAAAAACAAGATGCCAGCTTAAATATACAAACTCAAATTTTGACTACAACCAAAGAATTAACAATGCAGAAGATAACAGAAGAAGTGGAACAATCAAATACTAAGACAGAAGACTCAATTGACCAACCAATACAGTTAATGGAAAATCCAGAAAAGGGAGCGACAACACTGAAAATGGAAAAGACTTTCTATATAAATCAGAAGAAATTTGAGGAAAAGGAAGAAGAACAGATTGAATGGAAGATAAACATCTCAGGACAATCATGGGGAATTGGAATAATAGGGAGACAATCTAATGAACACAAATGGGCTAGTAGTCCTTCCAAAAAAATGGCAACTAAATAGTCTCTCTAATTTCAAATAATATATATAATAATAGAGGGAGATCTATTTGATGATTTAAAAGCATTGACATGGAAGGCTAATTGGCAAAGGAAGAAAGCCAGAATAAGGCTGAAGAAAATTGGGGTTTTGATTTATTAGAGGGGCTTTCATATTATTAATTAGAGGGTTAAAGGGAGAAGTTGAGATAAGGGGAATTTTGGTCATTAAATGTAAAATATTTGGAAATTAGTTGAAAATAAGGATTCTATTTGTTTAATATTTAAAAATTAGATCCAAAAGAAAAAAAGTGAATATGCTTGATTTATTGATTAACCCAGACAATATATATAATGGTTTTGATTTATTGAAGGGGATACTGTATTATTAATTAGATGATTTAATATGGTGGGAAATAAATAACTTTTAGAAAATAGAATAAAACTATACTCAAATAGATAAGATGTATATTTTGAATAGTCGATTCTGTTATGAATTGAGATAAGGGAAACTTCGGTTACCTAAAGCCTGGAAATTATAAATATCAAATGTTATATTTGAATATTGATGGGAAATTAAAAATTGGGAAAAAACCAATAACAGGACATTGATTGCCTATAAAGATTGAATGTAAAAGTAATTAAGATATGTATAAGCTAAAAATTTATTGATAAATGTAATAATGATGTTTTTACTTAGTTTATATAATAAGAAATGTATTAGCTTAAATATGAGATAGTAGATATTAAGAGAAAACGAGAGGAAATATTTGATGTTGTAACTTGAGATTTGTACTAAAGATTTTTGTATGTTATTGAACTATTGATTAACCCAGCCACCACGTTGCTTTTTAAATACCTAAATGTAAAATTAGAAAACTAATAAAATATTATTTTAAAAAAAGAAAGAGTGGCATTGTATGCATATTCAGGAAGTTGCTCGCTCTGGCTTCTTCGGCTGCTCCTTTGGATTGTGTCAGAACCCATATTTTAAAGGGCCTTTTCCTTTTCTCTCTTTACCCATGTTGCATTCTCTTCTCTCCCTGGGTTGTGCCATGCTCCTGGAGGGGAGGGGGGAAGCGCTTGGGTTTTATTGCCTTGTTTCTTCTATTGCTACAATGTAACACTGTGCTATTCCTGCATTTCATCTTCTGTGAACATCTTTCTTCCCTGCTGTCAGCTAGAAAGGGGGGAGGAGAATGGAATGTACCTCTGGCAACTGTGTTATCTCCGCGTTCACAAGGGAAGGTGCAAAGAGCCACCTAAACATCGGAGATGGCCTGATGTTATCTCCTTTTTCCCACAACAAACTTAACACCCTGGGATTGGGCTGTTTGAACCAACCGGATGAATTATGGGGTGGGACTATGCTTGGGGATACTTTTTAATCTATTGATCTGGCGGGAAACCCTCAGATCCTGTCTATTATGCCTACTATCAGCTTTTCCTAATAAAAGCTCCTTTTGGAAGAAACTGCTTCCACGAGTTCTACTTTCTTGGGATGAGGTATTGAGTGGGCCCTGACATATTCAGCCGAATTATTTCCTGTCCCTTTACTATCGGTGGCATGTGCTTTCTTTCGTAAGAAAATACTGTAATGTAACTTCAGAGGGTTACTGCTGCAAGAGGGTTAGGCATGTCTGGAGTGGAAGGGGCCCCTTCCAGGATTTCTTGTTTTGATGTCCCAGTCTAGCACATTGTTTAGGGCAGGGCCTTTAAAATTTATAGTATTGTAGTTCCCTAAAACGATAAATGAATTTGTGTAATCTTCTACATGAATAAAACTGTTTTGTTGAGGTTAGAATTCTGCAAGAAAGGCACCATTTACTAAAACTGTCATCATGGTTCCAGACTTAAGTTGTTTTAACAGCCATCTTTAATTTTTTTCTCAATTTTTAAAAACTAGAATTTAAACAAAATTCTAAACTTCACTCCTATATGTGCTTGTATTTTGCTGGTCATTTTTTATTTTTATCCTGCCTTCATTATTTTTATAAACTCTAGGTGGCAAGTATACATCCTTTCTGATCCTATTATCCTCACAACCATCCTGTAATATGGGTTGGCTGAGAGTGAGTGACTGGCTCAAGGTCACCCAGCTGACTTTCATGTCTAAGGCAGGATTGGAACTGTCAGTCTCTTGGTTTCTAGGCAGCAATTAAATTTTTTGAAAAGAATTATATATAGATACTTCTAAATGCTGCAGTCGGAACTTACCAGCTGAGTTTGACTGATAGCTGTTTGGCACTTTTGAACCTCACTCCCTGTGTTGCTTGCACAAGGCTGCTATTGCTTAAGTAAAGCAGGACAAAGTTATCACTTTGTACAAACATAATAAGCAAACAATTTGTTTTTTAAATGTGTCCCATCCCCTGAAATCATGATCCAGAGTTTGAAAATCTTTGTCTTAGAGCTACCACATCTGGCCCTCAAATGTCTCTAGGTCTAGGATGACCCCTAGAACACAGGAGTTTTCTGTACTGACACTTCTTTTTCAGATTTTTTACAAAACAGATCTGGTAGCCAATCCAGCTTCCTATCCAAATATTAATCAGGTTAATACCCTCACCAGTTTCCCTTTTCTGTATTTTTCTATTTGTTGCAATCTTTTTAATAATGATTATAATATGGTGAAGGAAAAAAATCAGTTTTTTTACTAAATCTGTCCTGCCCGCCTACCATCTATCCCTCACCATCAGCCAGAACCATCCCAAAGCCTTGAAATGAGTAGTCTATAAAATATTAGTACCTTTATCACCTAAGAATATTGAATTCCTCATGCATACGGATATAAATCTCAAAAGTTCTTTAAGATTGAAAAGTTCTTTGAATATTACTATTTAAAATGACTCAGAGATTCTGTTCCAGAAACGAATGTGAAGTAGAGAGAAACATTTACTTTTTTATTTGGGACGGACAAAAGCTGGCTAATAATGCTGCAATCGTTACACTTCTGTCTCTTATGTTATTATACAAATGGATTGTTGTTTCATGTTTAATTTGATCACATAATGGATCTAGGTTCGTGAAGAAATGCACCTGTCTATTCCATCTTCTTAGTAGCTCCATATTAGTCACAGCATTAATAACAGTAGTCATCCATGTGGCTGCCAGTGTGGTTGATGTACTTACATCTGAAGAGGTCAGCTTCACTGTTATGAAGACTGAAATGTGGATGAGAACTGTCACAACTCCTAAGAACACATTTAAAGTCCAAATTATGTTGAAAGCACTTTTTTTCAGCCTCAGCTGATGATAGATTGATTCAGTACATTGCACTCCTGATGAACAGGAAATACTTAAGGAGACAGGCACGGTTCTGAAAATAGTTCTAGTATATATAGCTAAATTAAGTACCATTTTCAAACACGGAGTTTCCTACTACCAAATATTTAATCAGTTTTGAGCATTGTAAGCAATGTCACTCCAGTGTTTCTCAGCCCTTTTCTTCCTGTTCCTCTCAGCCATTACAATGGCAGCTACAACAGTTACAAATACGGTAAAAGTTATGACAAGAACAGTCACTGTCTCAGCAATGCAAAGTTCCGTATCTACAGCTGGCAGGGGCAGATTTCTCAAGAGATGGGGCTCCATGCATGTCATGTTATAGTAATCTTCCAAGATTAGTCTCCCGACACTGTGCAGTTTTGCAAAAACTCTCTGAAGATCACAGTCACACAACCAGGGATTGTCTGAGAGTAAGAGGTGAGTTCCAGGGGTTTTCAAAGATAATAATGTTTTGAATTTAATATGCTCAATTTTATTGTGGATCAAGTTAAGTATTGTAAGGTGGCTTAATGGAATAAAGGCTTCAGGAGAAATAGTTTTTATCATATTACCCTCCAAGTTCAGGATCTCTAAGTGTTGCAGCATAGAAAATAGTCTAGCATGTAGGGCATGAAGGCAATTGTTCTGAAGATAAAGTTGCCTCAAGCAAGTAAGACTGCGGAAAGTCCCCATTTTTATGGAGGAAATGTTATTATTTTGCAAATTCAGCTTCTGAAGGTTTTCAAAGTACTGAAAATTTTTGTACTGTAGCTCTTGCAGTTTATTGTAGGCCAAAATAAGTTCATAGAGTGAAATAAGACCCACTGAAAAACTATTGCCAAGAAACGAGATATCATTTCTACTAATATCAAGCTTGTGGAGTCTGTCCAATGAAATGAATGTTCTTTCTCCAACTTTGTGGATGGAGTTGCCGCTCAAAAGGAGAACCTGCAACTTCCACAGGAAACGTAGAGATTTCCAAGGAATAGAATACAAGTTGTTGTGAGAAAGGTCCAAGTGTTCTGCATCAGGGGGAAAGGTTAGATTTGACACCAGAGCATGAACTCCTGAACAGTTCACAAACATTGTCCCTTCTTTGCAAAAACAGATTTTCTTGCAGGCTTGGTAGATTCTAGAATCACTGTGTGAAGAAGCAAACCAAAGCCAGACTAAGTAATGGAAATACATATTCTGTGCTTTTGATGATTCCTGTTGGATAATACAAATAAAATACATATTTTAGAAAAAATTGCATAATGCATAATTAAATTTTAATTACAGACAACCCTCGACTTATGACCACAATTGAGCTCAACATTTATGTTGTTAAGTGAGAAATTTGTTAAATGAGTTTTGCCCCATTTTATGACTTTTTGCCACATTTGTTAAGTGAATCACTGCAGTTGTAAAGTTAGAAATATGATTGTTAAGTGAATCCAACTTCCCATTGACTTTGCTTATCAAAGGGTCGCAAAAGGGGATCACATGACCCCTAGACACTGCAACCATCATGAATACAAACCAGTTGCCAAGCAGCTGAATTTTGATCATGTGACCACGGGGATGCTACAACAGTCATAAGTGTGAAAAATAGTCATACATTACTTTTTTCAATGCTATTGCAACTTTGAATGGTCACTAAATGACCTGTTGTAAGTTGAGGACTACCTGTATTATCATGAGATTAAGTTGTTATTTCATTGACATGTCTCCTCTATACTTAATAAATTGCCAGGCTGTCAAGTCCTCAGCATTTTCCACAGATTTTGACTTACAGTTCAGTTAGGCTATTGGCTGTATGCCTGTTAAGGCTCTTCAGCACATAACATGGCAGATTTAAATAAGAATCTATTATTTAAAAGTGAATACACCATTAAAATGATTGATGTCCAAAGGAGCAGTTGTTTTGAGTTCCATTGCTCCCAATGGCATTAACAATCAAAATATCATCTGATAGAACATTCCAAATAGGTCTGTTTGTTCTGCACTTATGATAAAGGAAATTTGATTTCATCTACATCTCTACATTTTAATGCAAATATTGGTAACTTGATAGGTTTGGGATACATCTTTTAAAAAGCACAGTGGATTATTAGTGTAACTACTTTTTCTGTATTTTTAATAAGGGAATAGGCTATCTATAAGCAGAAAGAAATGAAATAACAAATCAAGGAAGGGAGGTTTGACCTTATATTTCCTTTAATTAAAAACTTATCATTTAAGAGACAAGTAGTAAAAATTAACTTTATTCAGTTAGTTTAGTGGATATTCACTTTGAATGTTTCATCATAGGCACTATGACAATTTAAATTAAGATTTTTATTTCAGAATTCTTATTTTGTAGGACATTTCTAATTTAAAACATTTCTATACTGTTTCAATCAATAGACTCCCAAGGTGGTCCAAAAGTTTGACATAGCTTAAAAAATTTAAAATATTTAGACATACAGTATACCATTTACCAATTGGCAAACCATGAAAAGCTTATTTAATTCCTTAGAGAAGATGCTTATAAATAAGATACCACAATACCAACGAAGAAAAAAAATAACAGCTCTCAAAAGAAACCAGCATGGCTGCATAAAGAACTCTCTGATAAATTGAAAGACAAAAAGGACAAGTATAAAAAGTGGAAAGAGGGGCAGATAACTAAGGCAGAATATCAGCAAATAGCCTGAGCCTGCAAAGATGGAGTGAGAAAAGCTAAGTCTCAAAATGAACTAAGGCTTGCAACAAAAGTCAAAAATAAAAAAAGCTTCTTTCAACATGTAAAAAACAAGAAAAAAGTTAAGGAAATGATTGGTCCATTAGTGGGAGAAAGTGGCAAGAAGGTGACAAGCAACAAAGAGAAAGCAGAACTAAACTCCTTTTTTGCATCTGTATTTATACAAAGGGAAAAAGAATAGTCCAACCTATCAAAAACAGTACCTTAAAAAAACAGATTAGAAACACAAGTTAAGATAAGCAAGAAAATGATAAGTGAGCACCTGTCCACCCTAGATGAGTTCAAATCACCAGGACCAGATGGATTACACCCCAAGGTTCTGAATGAACTGGCAGATGTGATCTCAGAACCACTGAACTATATCTTTCAAAGATCTTGGAGCACTGGGGAACTACCAGAGGACTGGAAAAGAGCTGAATTAGTTCCCATCTTCAAAAAAGGAAAAAAAATGGATCAGGAAATTACAGACCTATTACTGACCCCAATACCTCGGAAGATCTTGGAAAGGATAATCAACCAATGAATCAGCGAACACCTAGAGGCAAACAAAGTCATTACCAAAAGCCAACATGGCTTTGTGAAAAACAGATCATGCCAGACAAATCTCATTGACCAAGTGAGAAAATTAGTGGATCAGAGGAATACTGTGGATATAATTTACTTGAACTTCAGTAAGGCATTTGATAAAGTAGATCACAACATTACTCGATAAGATAGAAAAATGTGGGTAAGACAACATCACCATCAGATGGATTCGTAGCTGGCTGACTGCCCATACGCAGTGTGTGGTCCTCAATGGAATTGCATCTACATGGAGGGAAGTGTGTAGTAGGGTGCCCAGGGCTCTGTTCTGGGCCCAGTGCTCTTCAACATCTTCATCAATGATTTGGATGAGGGGATAGATGGGAAACTCATCAAATTTGCAAGCGACACCAAGCTGGCAGGAATAGCCAATACTCCAGAAGATAGGCTTAAGATACAGAAGGATCTTGACAGATTTGAACATTGGGTGCTAGAATTGGGTATGTCTAGTTTAATGAAGAGAAGGATGAGGGGGGACATGATAACAGTGTTCCAATATCTCAGGGGTTGCCACAAAAAAGAGAGAGTCAAGCTATTCTTCAAAGCACCTGAAGGCAGGACAAGAAGCAGCAGATGGAAATTAACCAAAGAGAGAAGCAACCTAGAACTAAGGAGAAACCTCCTGACCATTAGAACAATTAATCAGTGGGACAACCTGCCTCCAGAAGCTGTTAATGCTCCAACACTGAAAGTTTTTAAGAAGAGATTGGACAGCCATTTGTCTGAAATGGTATAGGGTTTCCTGCCTGAGCACGGGTTGGACTAGATGACCTCTAAGGTCCCTTTCAACTTTATTATTATTAGGTAAGATGCTGCTCTACTGAGTGGGGGAGAACTAGAGTAGTTTATGATGAAATAAGGAACAGCTTCATCTTAAACAAAATAGACCTTGAGATAATTTGACTTGATGAAGAGTGTGGGTTTTCTTTTCCTGATACTCACCAAAATCTTTTCTTTTCTTTTTTTTATTAAGTTTTTTGAAATTTTACAAAAACAAAACAACCCATCCCCAAACCTCCCCAACCCTCCCATTCCCTCCCCCGGCCTTCCCAGAGCTGAACATAGACTTAATTAAAATTTCTTCAAATAATCTTAAAAAAAATATAAACCATGAATAAATCTAAATATTAAATACATTAATTAAACAAACTATAAGATAATTAACAATCATATATATATATATAAAAACATAAATACCAAAAGAATAATACTTGAAAGAAAAAAGAATAAAGAAAAGGAAAAAAGAAAAAGATAAAAGAATGTATAATAAAAATAAAAGATAAAAATAAAAAAAGAAATAAAATCTATAAGATGTTTTAAATTTTAAATATAAGTTATTGAAAAACTAAATAGTATTTTTTAATATCCAACTTATATTGTATAAAATCTATCCATTTTTTCCATACTGCAAAATACTTCTCCTGTGCAAAATCTTTTCTTTAAAAGATTTTGTTAAAAGATCATGAGCTTGAAAGGGCATCATTTCAAACCCAAGATATTTATATTCTTTATCTTCAATTGATAAAGATGCCACATTACAAAATAGGAATGGGCAACCCACAGTTTTCAAATGTTTGCTTTGTAATGTAGCATCCAGAACACAGATAATTATTGTAAACATGCCTTATCATTGTGAGATGGAAAACATGAAAACCAGCATGAGCTATAGAAGAGGTTCCTGAGGACCTTATTCTCATTTTACATAAACATAGCTATGACAACGATCCACAATATATTAATTGTGTATGATCTCCCAAAGTGATGAAATGTAGTAAATTATTTGAGGAGTGTTGTTAATGCATGAAATGTGAGAGTAAGCTGTCACAGCACTTGTGTATGAATGGAGAAACCTAAATAGTCCCAATTTTTTTCAAAGTAAAATTACCCATATAAAGTGGAAAAAAATATTAATGGTTTTCAAACACTGTAGACAATACAGATTGTACTAACAAAAATGTCCCCCAATTCCTCACTCAGGAACAGCACAAATGAAAATATGTTTTTCTGCTATTTTGCATTGGTGTGCCTTTTCAGCAACTTTCACTATTTGTCATATCCGTATTCAAAGCAGTCTTACCTTTGTTGCAGCCTAAGACACCTATAAAGTGCATGTTTCAAATGTCTTTCAAAGGATAGCGGCTGGTGGAAAAAGTATAGAGATGAAAGGATTGGCTATCATTGTGCTAAGACAGACTAGTTGAAGTGTGTGTGTCTGCAGAAGCATCAGGTTAAAAAGGAGTGTTAATAATTTAAGGATGCAAATGAACATTTACGCCCACCACCTGCTTCTTTTAGTAAATACTGATACTCAAATCATCTTATAAGAATGTGGAAATATAAAAACACATTTTCATTGTAATATATTGTACTCCCTCCCAGTAAATTATAATATACTGAAAGTTGATATGGGTCCATATTTTAGATAGCTATCCATATATGCATTGGCAAGATATCTCAACAGATATGTGAAGCAAGTAATGGAATAGTAAAAACATTGATTTCTGCTAAGGTTTTTTCTTTTGGCGATAATATTGTATGTTAGGATGCTTCTCTTTAAAACGTTACTTTACTAGAATGTATTGTATTTGTATTTTCCAAACCACATCAACCCATGACATTAAAATAAACAGAAGACCTTGTATGTATTCTTTTTTTTTTATTAAAAAGTTGTACAAAAATTACAAATTATACCCCAAAACCCATCCACTTTGTATGTATTGACTTTATCGACTGTATTCTTGAATATACATTGAATATACATTCAAGGATATATATTCTTCAGTCCTTAAGAAATGCTAAGAGTTTGGTTTATACCAGTGGTGGCGAACCTATGACACACGTGCCAGAGGCGGCATTCAGAGCCCTCTCTGTGGGTATGCGTGCCATGCCCCAGAGATGGCAACCGTCCCTCCTCAACCAGCCACCCGCTAACTTGCTGAGGTCCCATGTGGCCGGATGCATCC